ATCGGGGCGTCACAACTTGGTATCAGAGCCTAGGTTCAACCCTTAACCCTCACAACCCTATACGCGTCTCTAGAAGCCCTTAACCCTTATCTTATTTTATTCTATCACGCTATTATAAGAAGATTAACAAATGAAAGTCTTTTTCCACCTTAGGATGTCATCGGGAGACTATCCAGGACGCGTTGTCAGTCTCGACTCGTGGGGTACTTTCCACATGCAAGGAATGAGGGCCATGTCTGTTAGCCCCTACTTTAGCCTCCGATGTTGTATAAGTGCCACCGAGGAAATGATCAGAACCGAGATACGTAAGGTGGAGACGGAGTACTCTCGCTATACGAGGGAGCAAAAGAGGTCCCTGGTGTGACGCCACCTACAATTCTTGAGCTGGGCAGTGAAAAAGGTGATCCGAATGGTGCAAGATGATCAGAGGATGGACTTCTTGATGCACCAAGCTTTGACCACCAGAGCATACCGCCCACCACCAACTCCGGCTAAAGGTCACACATCTTCTTATCAGGAGCCAGGCAACCATCAACCAATGAATATGGAGCAGTCACCAGAACAACAAGGAGCAAACCCAGCCTACCCTATAGAGGTGTCGTCTGAACACAATCCCCCCTCACCAACGTACACCCCCCGCTCTCCGAACCAAGCCACTGACTCCGTTGAGGAAGATCCAGAAGAAGACTTTGATTGGTCGGGAAACGAGAACTAGTTCGAGGAGTAGTAAAACTAGACTTTTGTATGACCTGCTAATGGGGATCCTTAGAATAAGATAGCCTGAACCTTGTAATGCGTAGATGCTCTTCGAATGTAACTCTGATATAGGAGCCCTTTTGTAATGATGCCTACTATAATATGTGAATGATGTGTTGATCTATGTTATTGACTGTTACTTGCTTTAGTGCACCCTAAGGAAATTGAACCTTTATTTCAAATCTAAGTAGTAAGATTTTCTAAGACTGGAAACCAACTCATCACATGCCATGAACAGAATGGTGGACACGCGAGCTAATGGCTATATCGAAACAAGCAACAATGTACGAAACCGTCCCAGAAATCAACACGGACCCATCCCCGCAAGGGCTGACATCCCCAATAACCTAGGTCATCAAATTTTGGAGGAACTAGGGAAAATAAGGAACAATCGACAGAATGAGAGGACTCGACTCTTTTCTGAGTTTCGAAAACAGTGGCTCGCAAAATTCACAGGCGTATCGGACCCGAAGATAGCTGAAAATTGGCTCCGTCAGATAGAGAAAATGCTAGACACCATGGGCATAACCGAGGCCGCTGATAGAATAGCTTTGGCAGTATTCGAGCTTGATGATGAGGCTGACCATTGGGGGGAGTTAATAAAAAATACTCGTGACGTAGCGAGCCTATCTTGGAACTAGTTCAGGGAACTATTCCTAAATAAATATTTCCCAAGTACTATCCACCGAGAACGAGTCAAGGAATTCCAAAACCTGGAGCAAGGAAATATAACCGTGACCCAGTATGCTGCAAAATTTGAAGAGCTAGCCCGATACGGAACCAGATACGTAGCAAATGATGAAGAGAAAGCAAGGATGTTTGAATGGGGACTGGACCTTACAATAAGGGGAAGAGTCCTTCCACAAAGACTCCCCTCATATACCGAGGTGCTAGAAACGGCATTAAAATTTGAAAGGGAAGTGAACGACGCCAGGAAGGCTTGGAACAAGAGAAAAGGGAGTCAGGCGTCTATTGGACCTCAGAGGAACCAGAAAGGAAGCATGACCTCAAAACCCTACTCCAGACCATAACCACAACAGCAACGATAGCAACCGCATCAACAGATCCAGAGAGGAGGCTATCAACAAAGGCTGGTAGGACAAATCCAGTGCTTTCATTGCCAACAATTAGGGCACAAAAAGAGTGAATGCCCCCAAGTCCCTCCATCTGAATACCAAGGAGGAGGTTCCGGAGCAAATGCCCAGGCATTAGGTGGGCAGAAGCCTTGGACAAATAAGACAGGATCTACCAGGCAGCAGCACCAGAAGAGTGGAGGAACTCAGAACGCCAAGACCAGTGGCAACCAGAAGGCAACCGGCAGAATCTTTGCCCTACTAGAGAAAGAAGCGGACCCGTCTGTAATTGAGGGTAATTTAGTACTATACAATTCTTGGGTGCATGTTTTATTTGATACCGGTGCATCGCATTCTTTTATATCCTTAGCTTGTGCTAAGTCATTGGAACTTGTATGTGAACCTTTAGAAACTGCCTTAAGTGTAATGTCACCTATGGGACGATGTGTTCGGGTAGGATCGATCTGTAAGGACTGTAAGATAGGAATGTCGAACCTACGCTTAACTTGCGACCTTCGTATCATGGAAATGTCGGACTTCGATATCATCTTGGGCATGGATTGGTTGTCCGCCCACTGAGTGGTGATCGACTGTCATCAGAAGAAGGTGGTAGCTCACACGTAAGATGGAACACGTTTCCAGTTTAAGGGGGATAGACAAGACCCCATGGCTTCAATGAAACGTCGGACGCAGTGGCACGATCAACTTGCAGGTAGGATAGCAAGTTTGATTCTAAATGAGGAAGGCCAAGGAGAAATAGAACTTCCACGTGTAGTATGCGATTATGCAGATGTATTTCCTACGGAATTACCAAGATTGCCACTAACTCGGGGAGTAGACTTTAGCATCGAGCTACAACCTGGAACTACCCCAATATCCATGGCTCCGTATCACATGGCACCAGCAGAACTACGAGAATTGAAGACACAACTAGAGGAATTGCTCGAGAGAGGATTCATTAGGCCAAGTACTTCATCATGGGGAGCACTCGTGTTGTTTGCTAAAAAGAAGGATGGATCGTTGAGGCTATGCATCGATTATCGTCAACTCAATCGAGTCACGATTAAGAACCGATACCCACACCCAAGGATTGATGACCTTTTTGACCAACTCAGGGGCTCAAGGTGCTATTCAAAGATCGATCTCAGGTCAGGTTACCATCAACTACGAGTCAAGGAGGAGGATATACCAAAGACTACCTTTCGTACTAGATATGGCCACTATGAGTTTGTAGTAATTCCCTTCGGACTAACCAACGCACCGGCAGTATTCATGAGCCTAATGAATAAGATTTTTAGACCATACCTTGACCAGTTTGTAGTAGTATTCATTGATGACATCTTGGTATAGTCAAGGTCTGAAGAAGAGCATGAGCAACATTTAAGGACTATCCTTCAAGTTCTTAGGGATAATCAGTTATATGCCAAGGCGAGTAAATGTGAGTTCTGGTTGAATAAAGTAAAGTTCTTAGGGCACGTGGTATTAGAGAATGGAATTGCGGTGGATCTAACCAAGGTGGAGGTAGTATTAGATTGGAGACAACCAAAAATCGTGTCAGAAATTCGCAGCTTCTTAGGATTGGCCGGTTATTACCGGAGGTTCATCTAAGATTTCTCAAAACTAGCTAAACTAATGACTCGTTTGACGCAAAAGGGAGTAAAGTATGAGTGGGACGAAGCTTGCGAAAAATCCTTCCATGTTCATGCAAAATGGAAAGGTAGTCGCATATGGGTCTAGGCAGTTGAAACCACATGAGCACAACTACCCCGCACATGACTTGGAGTTAGCGGCCATAGTTTTTGCCCTAAAGCAATGGCGACATTACCTGTATGGGGAACAATTTGAGATTTTCATGGATCACAAGAGTTTGAAGTATCTATTCACACAGAAGGACCTTACCTTGAGACAGAGACGATGGACGGAGTATCTTGAGGATTTCCAGTTCACTCTCTCATATCACCCCGGTAAAGCCAATGTAGTAGCAGATGCTCTAAGTCGTAAGAGCAGAGGGATGATGGCTAAGATCTCCGTCAAGGAATGGGATATGGTTAAGACACTCAATGAGTTCAGGATCCAAGTAGAATCTCAATGTACAAGAGCATATCTTAGTGCGCAGAAGGTGATGCCTAAGTTGATTAATGAGGTCCTAGAGGCCCAGAAGCACGATCAAGAGGTAGCCTACATCAAGGGACATCTGGAATCAGGAGAGCCCATGCCCAATTGGGTAATTCACCCCGATGGGAGTTTAAGATACTAAGGTAGATTGTTTGTACCAAGTGACGAGTTACTTAGAGAAAAGGTACTGAAAGAATGTGTAGACACCCCATTTTTGACCGTCCTCAAGACTTGGACGTCACCGCTTGAACACTTGGTGATCATCCATGTTTGTGTTTGTCTTAAGTTCCCGGAGGTCTCAGCTACGCGCCTTGCCTCAGGATCTCTCGACTCGACTGTTTTGTGTCTGGTTTTGCACCAAACACTTGTGCTTTGCCTTGGAGGGATAGGGAATGGCTTGTGGGCCATCCCCACACTTCACCGGCCATGGCTTGATGTCACCGGCTGTGTTTTGTTGCCACTGGCCAAATGCTTGGCCGGCCGACACTATAGATGGCCAGCCGGCTATCTTTTTTTGGTCAATTGCATTTTTGGCCGGCCGACTACTGTGCATCTGCTTTTGCAGATATTTTCATGCAGCTGGCATGCACTTGGCTCCTCTCCATACACGTGTATGGAGGGATTTCCCCCTTAGCTAGCTTGTCTTGTAAGCTTACAAGATTGAAGCTCTATAAGAGGAGGCCTCCTCTCCCTCTTTTAAGGGTTAGACAACTTAGAAAACATTTTCAGAGCTTGAGCTTTAGGGTTAGGGTTTACATATATCCTCTATCTCTATATCTCTCTCTCTCTATTGTGTTTAGTGTGTGTTTAGTCTCATTTTTGTACACAAACACCCACCATCACACCTTTTCTTAGTTGCTGAGGTACCAGAGGTCTTTCCTTGAAGCTTTTGGACTGGTTTGGAACCAAAAGAGCTGCTGGAACATTGTTTGTGAAGAGGGTCTACAAGTAAGACTTTTGTCCCTTTTTACCTCATTTTTGCAAAGCTTTTTAGCCTATCTTGCATCTGTTTTTGAGCTTAGCATATAACATATAAAAGTCTTGTTTTTGTTTGCTCTAAATAGTTTGTGAAGGGTGTTTTAAGCTTTGGGGTTGTTTGACCCCTCTTAAGGCTTGTTTGGCCTTTATTTTGTGCCATTTTGGTTGAGCTCCGGGACCATTGTGTTTGGGCCTCCTCACCACTGAAATCTTGAGGGATTTCAGAGGTGAGGATGGTGCCTTGAGGTCCTAGGAAGGAGAGGGCCACCCCCTCTCCTTGTTGTCCTTGAAAAGGGCTATTTTTGCCTCTTGAGGGAGCATCTAGCTTAAGTGTGTGTTGACCATGCCTTAACTGATATTTATGCTTATTTTTCCATGAAATAGCATTGTGTTGAGTTGGTTTGGACACACCTTGCATGCTTTGCATACATGTCATGTAATGCCATCATTTAGCCTTAACATGCATCTAGGCTTTGACCCTCGTTCAAGCATGTTTTAGGCCCTGCTTTGTGAAGCTTTTGTACTTGTTTTTCCATGCTTAAGGTCTGCCTTCAGTTTTTTTGGTCGACCATGGCATGCATTGCATAGCCCCTTTACATTGTTTAGCTTGTAGGCTGTAAATGTGTGAAGTGTTGAGCATGCATTGTTTGATTTATTTCAGTGGTTTGACACCACTTATAGCATCATTTCAGTCCTCATGACATGCTTGCATGCTTGCCTTTGATGCCTCTTTGATGCCTTATGAGGTTATGCCTTATGCTCCATGTTTGGTTGTTGTGCATGCCCTTGAATTTAAGTCATTTAGATGCCATCTAAGTGGTCTTTAGGCTTTGTTTTAATATGCTACAACTCTGTTTTTGGTCATTTAATTCATGCCATGTTTGGGTTTTGCTAAGGGTAGTTCAATACCTCTTTAGCTTGCCTTGAGTTTTTGACCTCTAATTGCATGCTTATGCTTGTCTTGTTGGGTTGGTTTGGCACCATTTTAACATGATTTTCAGAGCTTATGTTGCATGTCATTAGTCCATGTTTTTGTGCTTACAAGTTGTCTTCATATGCTTAAGTGTTGGACCATATTTGCATGCATGTGTGTGTGTGTGTTGGACCTCACTTCCATAGTATTGGCCACTGATTTTGGCAAGCTTGCAAGCTACCCATGTTAGTTTAAGCCCACCCCTTTGCATGTTGTTGTATGCCCACCTTGTATGTTGTTTCATATTCGTGTGTTGTTGTATGATTGGAGTTGCATGATTGAATGAAGTCACATGCTTGCTTGCATGCTCGAACACCCACATTGTGCCTTGCATACTTATTAGTTGCATTGTCTCATGCCCTATGTCTTGCATGACCATTGTATGCCTTGCATGTTTCTTAGCATTGTCCATGTTGCATACTAGTCGACATGCTTAGGATTGCATTGCATTGGCATGCAAGCTTCGCCTCTTGAATTGCTTGTGATAGAGGTTGAGTTCAATTTGCTTGATTATGTGCATTGCATTCCATATCAACATGCACACTTGATTCTTTGGGCCATCATGCATGGAAATGCGTGATTGGTGGCCCGAGAATCGAGACCCATCCTTCTTTGAGTCATAAATATGATAAGGAGTGTGGTTGGTGCATACATTGCGTGAAATGCATTGCCATGCCAAGTTCTGTCCTCTGCTGCTGTCAAACCAGTTTTTGCAGGAAGATTTGGCCAGCCAACCATCTTAAGTGCCGACCGGTCATCAATCGTTGGCCGATGGATTATTTTGTGGCCGGTGACCAATCCCTTCAGCCGGTGGTCTTCTACAGCAATTAGAGAAGCAACCTTGGGACTTGTGCAATCTTCAGAGGAGGATAACAGCCAAAGCAGAGGCATTTTGTGCATAGTAGTGACTTTTCGAGCGGAACCGAGCGCGCATGCATTGGACCCTCTTCCCGAGGCTGTTGTTTACTGCTTAATTAGATTAGTTAATTTGCTTAGCTAATTTAATTGATTTGTAATATTTAATTAGCTTGTAGGTTAATTAAATTGTATTATTCTTTCGGTCCCTCCAAGCGAGGGCAAATTTGTAATAAGTGTGGGTGCGTGTGTGCATGTCTTCGAACCCCCACTTCTTTCTTCCTTTTACTTACCTGCTTTTGATGGTTAGTATTAGGACATGTTTACTTTAGCATACCTTATGCTATGTATGCGTGCATCATTCATTAGTCTTGCATGCACCAGGCTCGGTGCATCATGCTAGTAAAACAGTACTGTAGGTCTTAAAGACCAAACAGTCATTTGATGGCCATCAATACAACAAACTGTAGTTACAAGAGTTGGAACTAACAAAGATCTCTGTAACAATAGCATTAATAGTAACAGTAATAGTACCAATAATAGTTGCTATGGATGCCACGAGTATAGTTCACAAAGTAGGGCAATCATTCATTCAGTAACTACGTTTCAAAAAATAGTGCATTCATCGATCAAAAAATAAGTACAGTTGAACATAGCTTTACAACATTGGTACTCACAGTGGGCTCCCCGAATTACGTGCTTAAGATGCAACATCCGACCTAAGCAAACAAATTCAAGCACAACTCAATTACATTCAATTCATTTTGTTGGTTCTATTCAATTTAGTACTTATTTGATTTATATTCATTACTTATCCGTTCGGTTATAACTTTTTGTTCTTTATTTTCTTTCATGCCTATGACATGCACATGAATGTAAGAACTTGTGAAAACCATGCAAATGGAGGCCCGGAAGTTGGAAAAATGGAGCGAAAACAATTGACCTGCTGTAGACACCCCATTTTTGATGGCCCTTAGGACTTAGGCGCCACTGACTGATCACTCAATGATGAATGTGTACGCTTGTCAAATGCTTGACTTCCTCAACAGGAAACCTCAGTGTTGAGCCTACAAACCTTGTGCCTTATTTTGGACCAAAACAGTGTTTTTTCAGGCCTGAGCATCCAGGGACCTGCAGACCAGCCAGTGTGGCATGTCGCCGACTATTAGTTGCTTGCTAGCCACTAGTGCAAAAAAAAACAGATATTTTCTGCCAGCTATCCCTACAGCTGCATGCACCATTCTAGCTATGTTTGTATAGATATTTTTAAGGGTCTCTCATATATTTCTATATATAGATGACCCTCTCTTTTGTTGTCAAGGTTAGAAAAATTTTGGGGAGCAAAATTTTGGAAAATTTCTCTCTGTTTACAATTCTCTCTCTCTCTCTCTCTCTCTCTCTTGTAACGCACATAACCTTTGCCTAAACACTCTAAATCAAACCTAGAGAGTTCCTTGCTGAGGTGATTTGAGCTTGCATTTTAGCTCTCGAGACACTTGAGAATGTGAAATTAGTGGTTTGTAACTCAAGGGATCATTCCTCTTCAAGAGATATACATTCTAGTGCTTTTGTACCATCTCTACACTACTTGTTTTCTATCTTTTCTTGCTGTTTTTAAGTTGTTTGTTACCTATTTTTTTGGCTGAAACTTGTGGTTTAAAGCCATTAAAGGTAGAGTAGTTGACAACCCTTCTTTAAACCTTGCTTCTAAGGCCTTCGCCCTTGTGTTTCCCACCTTTTCATCAAATTTTTTTCAGCTCTTTACCACTAATTTTCAGAGGTTTTTCAAAGGTTAAAATCATTTTTTGAAGTCCTAAAAGTGGACGGGTTAGCCTCCCCTTCTTGTGCTTATGTGCTAGTTTTAATCCCTTGATATTTTAGCTTCTTATTGTAGTTGTTTTTTTTCTTAATTCCAACACTTTTTTGGACTGTTTTAGGACTATTTTAGGACTGTTTTTGTGAGTTAGCTTCATTCATGCTTTGTATAGTATGCTTGTAGTGCAATAGGCCTCATAGGCTTAGTGGTTTACCTATTTGAGTTGATAGTATTTGTTTCTTGCTTTCCATAGTTGTGTTCATCTCTAAGCATCTCTGCAACCTCCCTTATTTCTTCATTTTTCATTTTCTTTGAGAGTTGTTTCAACCAACTGATTGTTTAAAGCTTGAGATTAAGGTTGTTGTGCTTAATGGTTTAATCTCTTCAGAGGTTCATTACCAATTGCATGACATCTCTCTCATGCCTAAAACAATTCTTTGTTTGACACTTCTTTCCATTAAAGGACTTAATCTTCATTTCTAGACTA